AGAAGCTCCTTTACGTATTGAATTCCCCCAAATCTCCTCCTTTCTCTACCATTTCCTTTTACACAGATTTCACAAATACCTGTGCTATGGAACGTCACAGTGTTTTTCATTTTCCTCTAATTTTTAAATATTTTTCCTTCTTAATGGGAAAACGCTATGTTTTGATTTTTTTCTCTTTAGCATTTTACTATTTTTAAAAGAATTACTTCAAATCTACAGAGCTGTGGGGAGAATCATTGACTCATTGGCTCCGTTAACGATCTATTGAGAACCTAGTTCGCACCGGGCACTTTTCTAGGTTCCAAAAACAGAGCAGTCGACAAAACAAAGTCCCTGATGTTACGGAGCCGACATTCAAATGTGCCACTGAGAAGAGATAATAAGACCATAAAGCCCACATTTCCAGCTTTGACCATTCTTAACATTTCATAGTATTTGCTTAATGTTTTGAAAATAGATTAATATGGTAAATACGACTCAGGTGCTATTGTTACTGCTCCCAGTCCCCCTTCTCTCTCTCCTGAGGGGTAACTTTTTTTGAGTTGGGGTCCATCATTTCTATGCATGTTTTTACATTTATATTTCATATGTTTGTATACATGAATAACATCTTATGGTTTTGCATGCTTTATAACTTTCTAAAAATGATATACTATAGTGTCCTCCACTCTTTATTCTGTCTATGTTGTTTTTTTTAAATTAGTTTATTTATTTCTTTTGAGAGAGAGAGAGAGAGAGAGCATGAGTGGGGAGGGACAGAGAGACAGGGAGAGAGAGAATCCCAAGCAGGCTCCACGCTGTCAGCACAGAGCCCAATGTGGGGCTCAATGTCATGAATTGGGAGATCATGACCTGAGCCAAAATCAAGAGTCAGATGCTCAGCTGACTGAGCCACCCAGGCGCCCCTGCTTACGTTGTTTTTAGACGTGTCCACATTGCTACTTAGGGCTCTACTTCGTTCACTATAACTGCTGTATAGGATCCCTTTGAAAGACCATATCGCTATTTATTCATCCTCCTATTTCCTATAGAAATGTTGCTTGGTTCTCTCTCTCTCTCTCTTGATTGGTTCTTTTTTTTTTTTTTTTTTTTTTTTGCCATTACAAACAATGCTTCAGTGAATGTTATTATACATATCTCTTTGGATAACCTATGGAAGAGCTTCTCTCTATATGTCTAGGAGTGGAAGAACTAGTTATATAGGGACGATACATCCTCACATTCATTACATATTGCAAATTATTCCTCAGAATGGCTGTGCTAACTTATCGCCCAGTATATTTTTAAAACCTCCCTATTTTGCAAAATCATTAGAACCAGAGATGGGAGCTGATGATGATCAGTAATTTTCTTTCATAAAATATAAAATGAATATTGAGAATATCGTTCCCTGTATCCTCCTCAGTGACTAATTGTGGTTCTCATCTTGGCAATGGCAGTGGAAGAATTGGGCCGTAGGCCCCTCTCCCCTTTGAGTTAACACCATTAAGAATAATGAAATTCTAATCAAATATATCCAAGGAAGATAAAACTGGTGCCCGTCTATCTTCAGCTGAAGAGGAATTTGGGAAGACAAAATATTAACGTACATAGGGTGACTGACCGATGTTACCTAACCCCTCTGCCTTTTGTTACACTCCCCCCCAAATACAATCTTCTCTGTTGATTTCTATGCAAAGTTAAGCAATTGGCTGGAATTCCCCCAAGCACTAGAGAAAGGAAATTAATATAGAGGGTTGTTTAAAGATCATTGATTTTTTCCCCTCCCACCGGCTCTAAATCTGAATTTGCAAAAGCAACAAAACCTTAAATCAGGGTTCTCTATTATTATTTTTAAACTTTTTTATGTTTCCCCCTCTCCATTCCTGTAGAGAGTATTGCTCTTTCTGTTGCTTCTTCCGACAAACTATTTTACTGTTTTTAAAAGAATTATTTCAAATCTATAGAACTGTAGGGAGAATCACTGACTCATTCACTCAGTTAACAATGTATTGAAGATCTAGTAGGCACATAGGCACTGAGCCACAGGGGGGCCTGGTGGCCTCAGACATCAGCTCCACACCCAGGATTCTGGGTGCAAATCTCAGCTTTTCGTCCACCTTAACATTGGTCACCTTAACCTCCCTTTGCTTCAGTTTCTTCCTGTGTGAAATGCGAGGGATAATAGTGTGAGTCCCACAGAACAGTAAGTGGCTCACAAGTACTTGTGATGTGTTTACTGTATTCGGAGGCAAGTGCTTTTTTTTTTTTTTTGCCCAGAAAAGAAAAGAATGGGCATTAGGAGATAAAGTCCATATGCAGTAACTAAAGTGTCTAGATTTGCTCTAGAGAAACACGCAGACACACACACACTATAATACTGTACTCTGAATTAATTATGGAACAAATGCTTATTTAGATGAGCGATCTAAATAAAAGGGCTTGGCCTTTGAACCTTCAAAAAGGCCATTGTAGGGTGGTCCCTGAGCCAGTCCTAGATCAGAAACCTGGTCTACCTGAAGACAATCTGATCGCTAGGTTGCTGGCTGTTTTTCTAATGACCCATTTATTTTCCTGTCTTTGCCATTCCAAGAGGCTCTGGATGTCCTCAGAAATTCAGTATCGTGTTAAGTGGCATACAAATTAGAGGAATGAATTAAGACGCCTCGTTATTGGTGTAAGTGAATTCTTTGGGCTGCAGCAAGCAAATATTCCAATCCAAGCTGTGCTAAATATTTTCATAATTATAAAGATTTTCCAGCCCATAATGCTTTCTGGCGGCTAAGCTCTGTGAGGGAAGAGGGCGCTCTGTCCTCAACCTAAAGCACTGTGCCTGACCGTTAGTAGGAACCCAGTAAGCATCCATAAGATGGACAGAGAGACAGGTTATAACATCGGTTCCTAAAGAACAAAGGAAACTGAATTTATTTAAGATGATTGAGAATTACAATAGAGCATAAATAACAAGACAAGGGCCCATTTTCTTCAGAGCCATGATTCATTTTTAGCTTTTCTAGAAGCCTTTCAGTGTGCCTCTACAACCAGCTAAGCGAACAGATGAGCATCTTACACAACGTAGAGCTCCTTATCAAAATGCCTTGGGTCTGAACACCACTCAAGAGCTTACAAAGCCCCTTCACATACGACAGAAATGATTATTGTTTGTAAACTATGCACCAGGGCCTATGCTAAGTGCTGTACGTACACTGCCTCATTGATTCCTCAGGCCAACTCTGAACCGTATCGCTTTTATGATGCCCACTTCACACATAAGAGAACTGAGGCGCAGGTCCCCCAGTCCCTAGGGTTTAAATCTAGACTTGCCTGGACTTCATAGTCAGCACTGCCTCCCTGGGAAGGCGGGCCGTGCTCTTTCCGTATTGCAGATAAAGAAAGAGATGCCGTGCACAACACCAATGTGTTCCAGACAGGACTGGAAAGAAAGTCCAACTTCCGGTTCCAGTCCAGTGCTGTTTCTCAGTACTATGTTACCACACACTGACCTTCTGGAAGAATCCTCTATTTAACTCTACCAGATTTGGAAGCATTCTTTGCTCCTCCTACTGGTGTCTTATTCTCAGATATCGAATAAGTGACCATGGCACGCCTACACGAGACACTTTATGACATGGCTTTTGTGCTTAACAGTGCACATTCATTTAGGAGACATGGCTAAGGGCCTCCTACATGTCAGGTCCAGCTGTCCCTGCTGGGGGCACTGGGGACAGCTTCCCAGAGGAAAGCGCACTGAAACTGTGGGAAGCATATCCATTTGTCAGAGGTGCAAAGAAGCAGGTTGGGACGGACCCCCGGACTGTCAGTCTACCCAGAATTTGCCTGTACCTCGCTTCCCACCACTGCCCGTAACCTGCATCTCCTTGCTTCTCTAGAGTTGCCAGCATCTCTGTCCTTGCCAAAATGATTGTTTTTAGAATCAGCAAAGCCTTCACTGCAGTTTGGATCATCAACCAGTGTTGGCTCTGCTAGACTTTTCATTAATATCAGAAATAGCACATCCTAATCTAATGTCACAGTAATTTAATTGGTTGGCATGCATTGGCTCACTTGTGGTGCAGTGCCACGAAACTGAGCCATTTCTCACATGTTGGCAACCTGAATGTCATCCATCTTGATCAAACTAAAGCTGGAGCAACCGGGCTGAAGTTTTCCCTCAGGAGTCCACAGGCTGTTCTAGCGAACAGAGGGGAAGAAGGCCTTACCCTGAGGGTGGTAAGCCTATCTGTCCTTGATGTTGTCACCTTGCATTTTATTTATTAGCATCTGTGGCCCTGACATTGCATCATCTTGCTCAGATTGCTTTTTACTGGCCTGGGAAACTATTTTTCTTTCCACTTAGTTTCTCTTGGAAGTTTAGTGATACCAAAGTAGACTTTTATGATATAAATATGATCACAGCTTATGTAAATCCATAAAGCTTGGTGGATTGAATCCACACAGGTCCAGTTTGGAATTATTTTCCAGTTTACTTCTTTACAAAGAAACTAAGACAGTGGCTAGCTGTGCTGTCCAGTATGGTAGTCGTAGGGTCCATGAGGATATTAAAACAAAAATTAAGTAAACTTAAATATTTAATTTCTCAGCCATATTAGCCTTATTCCTAGTGCTCCATAGCCATGTAGCTTAGTGGCTACCATATTGATGACACAGATAGTGATGTCCACCGGACAGCACCGATTGAATAACAGGTTGAGATCTGTGTTATCAACACACTCAGTGCAGAGTCAAGAGGTGCAGAACACTTCAGGGGAATTAAATCTTTCTACCTTGAAAACTATGGGTCAAATAGCAAATGAAATGTGGCTAGGAAATGAATGCATATCCGGAACCAACCCACCTGCTTTACTGACCATGTCTCTCCTTCCTCCGAGCAGTATCAGACCCTGTTACTTTCCCTTTATTATATGCTATTGAGGGGGAAGGAGGAAAGACATGGAAAAGTTGATCTGTGTACATAAGGAACATCCATGAACTCTGGTTAATTTTTCCCCCTCTCTCTTCAGGTCCTTGAGGCCACACGGGTTAATCGAAGAAAGAGCGCCCTGGCCTTGCGCTGGGAGGCGGGGATCTATGCGAACCAGGAGGAAGAGGACAATGAATAACAAACTTCCTTCCACCCAGGAAGCTTCTTTGGTGCTTGGGTTACCAAGAAACCAAGAAATCAACACATCGAATCATTTTAATGGGATATTTATTAAAGTGCAAACAAACTCCACAATCCTTATGTAGACCGGAAGCTGCAATGACCAACGATGAAAACCTACAGTGAAAAGAAGCCCACCCGCCACACTCTGTAAACAAACACCCAGGAGTCAAAAGACAAAGGATTTTTTGAGACTCAAAGAATCGCCTGGATTTGGACCCATCCACAGTTGATCCAAAAGGACAAAGCAGTTCCAAGCAAATCAACACGGTAGCTCCAGGCAGCATTGAGACCAGCCTCGCTGGGTGATGACAAACACTGGTGACAGGGCCATGTAGAGCCGCAGAGCCCGCGCTGGTGCAGTCTACAGGGCGCAGGGTACTCCCTGCACCGGTTCCTCGCCAGCGCTCACAGCATCAGAGGTGTGGGAACAACCCGATTTACTCCAGCAGCCAGCCATAAAACGAAATGCAAGTCTCTCTGTATCTGCCCAGGAGAGGCAATTAGGATTCCATTTCTCTTACATCTAATTGTTTTTAATTGGGAGCAATTAATGATCGCAATGTATACAATCCACCTTCTTAAGACAGTTTTTCTTCATGTTGCAAACACCGTCGATTCTACACGAGGGGGTTGAGAAAGAGGGAGAAAGCCAAACCAAATGGATTATTTTAGCTTTAGGATCTCGTCTGCTTATAGTATTGACTAATTTGCCGTTTATGAGAACACATTTTCACAATTAAGTTTCTTCATATGAAAACTATATTTAGTGGGCAACAACTATTTTTATGATGGGATGGGGGGAGTATATCCATGTATAAAATCTGTACACATTCAACAGCTTGGCTCAAGATGGTGGGGGTATTTTTAGAGCGGCAGTAATTGAAAAAAGGGCAAACTGCCTTCGAGAGGCAGATGACAGGAAATAAAAAGGTGTTTATATTTTATATTATAAAGTGGACCTTAGTAGGAAGAATGAAAGATTATTTTGGATCAATCAGAAAGGAAACATTAAAGAAAGGTCATGAAGGTAGACTGAGAAACAGGGGGGGAGAATGTGGGGAAAATAGGAAGTAAGAGATATTACTTATTTTTGCTGAGCAACCAGCATTTTTCAGAATGATAAAGAGAAACATTTTAGAGTAGAAATCTAAGTGGAGGCTTGGAATCAGCTACAAATCCTAAAGATGGTGTGTGTGTGTGCGCGTGTGTGTGTGTGTACGTGTGTGTGTGTGCACACGTGTGCCCGCTCATGCACGTCCATCTGTGTGTTTGGGTAAAGTGTGTGTACAAGGATTAAAATTCCAGAATGCTCATGGGACAAGGGTGTACAGTTATTTCCTCCAAAGCTGTTTGCCAGCGTCAGGAGTGAGTCAGAATTTCTTTTTTATGAAAAGGGATATAGAGGCACTGACCTGATGCAGTATTTGTAATATTAAATTGACCTAACATGGTATTTGCATGAGTCACAATTGCAAAGTTTTGAGCGGTTTTGTAATTTGACATTTAGAAAAGTACCGTATTTATTCTCATGCTTTGTATTCATAGCTTAGTATACTGTAGAGGATGCCAGCTTTATCTTACTGTCATTTAAAGCAATATGATAAGGGTACTCAATAATTGGGTGCCCTGAATTTCTGGATGAGAAAAGTTTTTAATTCTGGCCATGAGAAAACAATTGACCAGCCTTTCTTTTTTCTATTTGTTTTGAAACTATGGTTTTTAAAAGAGCAATAATGAAGCCAGACCTCACTAAAATTCCTTTTTGTTTTTATATTGTTATGTCATAGGCTCTAATATGTTATTCTGACAAATAACGATTCCACAACAGTTTGTATGTAGATGTTAGGCACATTACCTTTGCTTCTTTTTATAGAGTAGTGGTGACTTTAGGGGGAAAGTTTATTCACAGACAAGCGGTGGGCATAAAGTAAACATGCAACTGTCTGATAACTTACAAGGATCCTTTAAAACTGCCAAGGGAACCTGCAATTTGAAGCCAAATTCTAGAGGTCGGTGGTTGGAGCCATCTTTATGTGGTTTATTCTCCTGAATATTGTGAAAAATATTCAACAAAATGTGCTAGCCACTGGGGACACAAAACAAATAAGATCCCCGCTGCAAGGAATGCGTTTTCATGTGGGGGCATGGAGACAGCCATTCCCAGGAAAATGAGGTCTGTGTTAGGTTAGAAGTCCTGACGGGTGAAATGGGAGCACCCAGGAAGGCTGCCTTGCCTGAGGATTTTCAGCGTTCCCATGGCAGGCACGAGACTAAAAGATGAGACAAACGCTTCCTGTGGCCCCAAGGCACAGTGGCAGCTAGGATGGCTGCAGAGCAGAGGGGTTTTATGAGATACACAAAAAATAAAACAGGCTGCATGTTTTCCGGACTAACTCTGAATCTGGTAGAGAACACAGACATGGTATAGACAAACCCTGGCTTCCACAAGAGGAAACAACCCTCAGGACAACCTGAAGTTTTTTGTTGTGTTTTGAAGGAAGCCATGTCCCCACCCATCTTAAGCCTGCTTTTGAGAAGACAATTTGCAGCTGAATGGATAGCTTAGGAGGCCACACAATTCATGGACTCTTTTGGAGGCAGACAAATTGGCCTTTGACTACAGATGATTGAACCAGAAGCAGGCATAACATTGCCTGGAGTTCTAGCGCAGTCCTTTGGTCCGTGCTCCATGTGTAGACAGGGCAACAAATGCAGAGTTTCTGTGAGCGTCCCGCAGTCGCGGCGCTGTTGAACTGTGGCCCCTACGTCTCCAACATTTGCTTGTTCCCTCTGCTGGCCTTCTGATGACTGCTGTCTATTTCCTTGGTCCACTCACTTAGAATCCTCTTAAAATGTAAATTGTAGTTCCCTTGGAAGAGCCAGGTTTTCTCTGTGCTCTTGAGTTTTTTACTCATTCAGAAAACACTGGGCTTTGTACATAGCATCGTGCTAGGCTCTGGGATCCCAAACGAACCCCTTAAACCTTCTGAAGATGCAACAGACCCCTGGAGGAGAGTTATTACTTCCTAATCCACCAACAGGAAGTGGCTTGTCAAAGAAATTGGCCTCTGATGCTCGTCCCTGCCCCCAAATAGCACGCAAGCTTGTTAATCTCAACTATAACACGTGTTTAGATTCTGTAGATGTTAAAAGCTTTCCTGAAAGTGTTCCTTTCTACAGTGTTTATAGATGTTCAGTTTCCTCCGGAGCTGATTAACTACTGACATGCCTTGGCTCTCTCATCCAGAAATTATGGAAACAGGGTCTGTCAGTGGTAGGAGGCTGGGCTGTGTTCTCCTCAGATGACACAATGCAATTTCCTTGCCTCTTTTCACCTCTGCATGCTGCCCGCCCTAGACAATGACATATACGCAGTATATAGATCAGTGTCCACATATATACACAACACAACACACGCATATATAAAGTGTAACAAGAAACACTAAGACAGTGTTGACTCTTGTCTCTGATGACAAACATTTTTCCAACTCAAGAATGGATGTAATTAAACTATGTATTGAAAAAAAAAATAGCCTAAGTGTTTAGAGATGGTGAATATATCCAGTTTTAGTGACAGAACCAATTTCCTGAATTTTAAGCATTGAGTGAGCTACCAGCTTTGATCTTGTGTTGCCCTTTTACCCAAATGACTTTTTTTTTTTTTTTTTTTTGGAGAAGGAGGGGGGGGGGAAACAGCAGCAATACTGTGTTTGAAAATTATACTCTGTATCTGGCTCTCCTGTGTATGTTAACCACTTAAATGTTATTATCCTGCTTCGGTTTTATAGTGATTGTGAGGCATTCAATGCAAGTATACAGTTATTTTCTCATTAAAACTCAGTGTGTGCTGTGTTTTTATAAGCGATGAGTACTTGTTTGACTGGGGGTGGAGGGAGGTCAGAAGATGGATCTGCCAAATGGTGACATGCAGGTGCCCTTGGCCTTGACTTTGGTGTGTCAGCATCTGCTGCTTGCACACTTGAGCCACGAAGGCTATACCAGCTGCTGGGACACCACTGTGACAGGCTGTCCCAATGCCCCTTTTGGCCATGCTGTCTCCAGCTGTGCTGGCTAGAGCCTAGAAACCTCTGATGTGACCCCAGAAATGATTCGGGTGCCTCTGGATGAGGTGGGTGGACCCCGAGGTCAAAGAGATGATGGCTGGGCAAACAGTAGGACAAATGGTTAAAACTCAAGCTTTGCACGTGGGTTCTAATTTTTATTATTACATACTCAGCACCTGTATTTGACTCTCCTCTGAAGAATGGAGGATTTCAGACTGTAAAGAGCATATGAAGACCACAGACTCATCAGGAAGCTTCTTCCCCAAATTTCCTCCTGCCCTCCCGTCTACCCCCTCACTATCGCTTCAGGGTCCTGCTGCCCTGCTCACTGTCTGGCCCCTCACCCTTACTATGCCCCAGACCTTCCATCTTCTGCCCTTCCCCCCCACCGCCCCCCGCCCACCCTGCCTCTCTCCTTGGGGTCTCTTCTTCCATCTCTCCCTATTTGTGTGACTCTTTCCAACATTCTGGAGCAGTGGAGTTGTGATCTGCTATGGATTCAACATCCTGGTCCTTTTTGCATCCATCACCACTATCGTCTGGGGGGTGCTGGGCAAAGCCAGGGAAGTCAAGGTTCACAGGACTGGGTGCTCAGAAAGTCACAGAGTCTGGCATGTCAGGGTAGAAGGGATCTTCAGGGATTCTCACCGAGGAAGGTCTTTGCACAAAACCAATGTGAGGCATGAAAATCACTGATATGTAGAGGGCGGATATGCAGGCTTTTTGCTCTGTGCCCTAGACCTGTGGTCACTACTCCAGGTTCATCCCTCCCCGTATTTATTGGTGTCAAAGAGACAATCATTGTGAGACACATGAGACCATGAAGTTACTTTGGAGCATTGCTCATTTTAATTGTGGGATTCCTGTGCCGTAGAGCGTGGTGACTACGTCCCTCCCTGCACAGAACCCACACAGAATTCAGAATTGAGCTGCTAGGAACACAGAAAACAAGTGGGGAATTGAAAGGGAGCCTTTAAAAGATGATACTAAGGCAAAGAATGGGTCTTCAGAAGATACCCGGAGATGGCATACTGGCAATTTCTTTAAAAAAAAAAAAAAAACTTTTTATTTTATCTTTTTATTTTAGAGAAAGAATGTGAGCAGGAGAGAGGGGTTTCCAAGAAGGCTCCATGCTCAGGGTGGAGCCTGAGATGGGGCTCGATCCCATGCCCATGGGATCATGACCTGACCTGAAATCAAGAGTTGGATGCTCAACTGACTGAGCCACCCAGGCGCCCCCATTCTGGTAATTTCTAAATGTTGCCTAAGCATTCAGATGTCTTCTTTCTGAGAAGGAAGAATGTTTCCCCAATAAAAAAAAATTTTTTTTTAAATTCTGCCATGACCTAGTAATCTCAGGGTCAGTCAGCCTTGATGGGAGAATATGGGAGAATTACCCAGATGCTTTGTTCTCGGTTCACAGGTGGTGGGCTCTGAACAATCAGAATGGATGTGCAGGCACCTGGCAAGGTAAAATCACAAAATCACAAATCTCTCTCTCCTTTGCTTGGTTTTTCTCTGCCCACCCACTGAGACCACATTCTGTCTCTGCAGGGGTCTTCAGCTAGTCAGTGATTCCCCCCCACCCCCACCCCCATGGGAGCAGTGGCTCTCCTGCCAGAGCAAGAGTCTCTGTCGCCTGGAGCGTTCATTAAACACAGATTCGGAGGGCGCCTGGGTGGCTCAGTCAGTTAAGCGTCCGACTTCGGCTCAGGTCAGGTCATGATCTCGCAGTTCGTGGGTTTGAGCCCTGTGTCGGGTTCCGTGCAGGCAGCTCAGAGCCTGGAGCCTGTTTCGGATTCTGTGTCTCCTTCTCTCTCTGCCCCTCCCCTACTCATGCTCTGTCTCTCCCTGTTTCAAAAATAAATTTAAAAACTATAAAAATTTTTTTAAAAAAATAAACACAAATTCGGGCCTCACACCCAGCGCTTCTGATTCAGGACGTCTAGGGTATGCAGCCCAAGACTTTTCTAACTAGTTCCCTGGGGCTGCTGCTGCCGGTGGTGGCCCAGGAACCTCACTCTGAGAATCACTGATTTAGAGTAAGTGATGACTAGGGTCTGGGCACCACTTTCGTTTGGAAACGAGGAAACTGATGCATGATTTATAAGCAGCAGATATAGTCACATGTCATTGTGGGTTGTTTTGAATATTTGTTGGTGGCTTCTGTGCATTTACACAGCATATCAGCTCAACGCTCTGTGGGTCTTGGTGAAGCAGAGTGTTGATTCCATTCAGATTCTCGAGAAAAGACACCCCCACCACCCCCGGTGAAGGGGCTGAGCAAATTAAGAAAATGTGAATTGAGGATAGTATCTATATATCTATATATGTTCAGACTTTGATCCAGGGTAAGTTCAAGGGACTCATTTGATCTTTGGAAGAAGTTTTTTTTTGTGTGGGGTGATAGAAACATCAGAACTCCATAAGTGTTGGTTTGTTTTGTTTTATTTTGATCTTACTAACATGGTTGCATAATTTGAGATGAGATACAAAATACAAGGTAATTCCTATTTGGTCTAGAGCAGAACTTCTCAATTCGAACTCCATGTGAATCACCCGGAAAAAGCCTTGAAGTTTGGATGCAATTGGTCTGGGCTGGAGCCCAGACATTAACACATGCTAGAAGCATCCCAGAAGAGACTACTATGTACCAGCCTTGCGCCTCACTGCCCAGTGCCGGCCCCGAACCCTGGCTTCACTGCACATAGGATCATCAGGTGTTTTTTTTTTAAAGATATTGGCCCTTGGGCTTCACCCCAAGAGTTTCTGATTCATTTCGTCCCAATTGGACATGGCTATGAACGTGGGCATGTTTTAGCAGCTGCCAAGGTTGGCAAGGTTGTCCTTGCCTCATGACCTGACCCTCTTCAGAAAGTTATTGGCGGCAGCATCAAAATGAAATGAGTAAAAGGCCTCAAGGGACTGAACTGTCCCTCTCACAGGTTGACCCAGGAGACAGAGGGCAGTGTTGGTGACTGAGGGAGGGACTTTGCAAAGAGCCTTTGTTACTCCTTCTCTGATACTCTCAGCTTTGCTCGTTTCAGCCCTCCGGCCGACAGCAGGCCCGGAGGTTAAAGCTTTTGGGTAAACTGAGGAATGAAAAAGCTACAAGGGAGGCATGTTCTAGCCTCCAACAGCTGCACACTGAGAAAAAGCCCGAATGGACGAAGATCAAAAATGTCACAGGATTATTTCTGGGAGATGAGGCCAAGATCATTCTTTCTGTTTATGTCTATAAGCGTTTGCGGATTTCTCTGGTATAAATATTCTTGCAACGGCTGATTTTAAGACGCCAACAGTTTAACAACTGGTTCCCAGGATCCCTGAATATGTCATAATTGAAAAACTACTGTGATTAGAAAACACAGGGTATCCTAGAGGTCTGGAGCTAGAGCCCTCATTAACAGCCTTCACTGGCTCTGAAGTGGCTCTTCTGCACCAGTCCCAGCAGGTAGCAATCAGGGACTCGAATTCTGACCATCTCGTCTGAGGATGGTGATGAGTCCCAGATGGTGAGAACGGCCAGCCTAGATCACATGCACGCGCCTGTGGCCAGGGTCCGTGGTGGAGGGAAGGGGAGGAAGGGATGCTGGGAAGACCACATATGTGACCCCAAAGAGCCCGTGTTGCAGATGATGTCCTTGGTCATATCGGTATTTCCATTGTCACTGTCAGCGTCTCTCTGACAAATCTTTGGGATCAGACAGGGACCTCAGCTTTGGGGCTCCCCACTTTTTCAATGGAACCTTTGACCACTTGCTTACTCTAGGTTGGATTTCTGACTTCTGGAGTTGCTGTGGGGAATGAATATAAATGGTTGGTACAGCTCAGAGTTTACTTCCTTGAAAGCCCTGCATTCAGTCAGCAACTACTTACTAAGTGCCTACTATGTGTCCAACTCAGATGATTTCAACTGGATTGGAAGAGCTCTCAGCATTGGGAATGTGGGGACAGAGCTGCTCCAAAGTCAGGCAATGCTTCCACACCTGCATGTCAGATAGGGCCATCCTTGATAGTCTGCAGTGTCCGAGCATGCTTTTAATTATTCCTCTGGGCATAAGACCCATATAACTGTGTTCTGGGCAAGAGAGAGATCCAAGTGAAAAGATATTTAGTAGAAATCATAAATATCCCAGAATTCATCAGTGGAGGGTCAAAAGGTGCTAGGAACTTGCAAGGAGGCATGTAGGAAGGAACTTCCTTAGATGAACAAGAGGGCTGCACAATCACCACATTGATCATCAGAGGGGTGGAGTTTCTCTCTGTGGTCACTGTTCACCTTTGGCTGCAAGTATGAAGTATGGCCACGAGGTGGCAGTGCTCTCTAAGGTGAAAGCAGCTTTCTCAGCCAAGAGCCAACCCCAGGGGTCTGGACATTGCTCACTCTTAACACAAGACAGGGATCCATTGAGATCTTACATATAGCTACACCAAAAACACCAAAATGGAAACCACCACATGTGCAATCCTACATGGAGGTCAAATGTGGCCCTTTACTTACACTTACAGTTCAGTGCAAAATTGGCTGTTGCCACCAGGTGGCAGCAGACATCTATTTGCAAGCTCCCAATGACAATGGCTCAAAGGCACTGCGCTGAGCGCTCTACGAAATTATTTCACTCAGTTCTTACAACATTCTTTGAAGTACATACCAGTAGCATCATCTCCATTTTACAAAGGAGGAAACTCACACTCGGAGTTTAAATAACTCGGTGCCCATGACAAGACCAAGGGTGGAAGGAGGATTCAAATCCCTGCAGCTCACGTCC